AAATAGAGGCCTCCAGGCCGCGGACGCGAATCTCGTTCATTTTCTCCGGGCGCGAGATCCTCACATCCGGGTTTGCCCTCGTGAGCGCCGACAGCCTCTCCGCCAGCATGTCGGCTTTGGACACGCCTGCCGCACCCCCCGGCACCTCTAAGAGGAGGGCCCCCCGACTTCGAGCGGCGAGGTCTTAACTCCGTAATACCGGGCTCCGCGATGTTGACTTTTTCTTTAGCCAGCTGCATCACGGAGGCGTACGTCGTCACCCCCTGCAGTTAATCGAGACTGCCGCGGTTCTCGGAGGACGTCTAACCCTTTTAGTGGGGACTGCCATTGTGCCATTTCTGTTTTGGGTGCTTCCACCCCTCCCTCCGGCCTTACCCCTCATCAACACGGAGGGGTTTTTCAGAGACCTCTTTTCCGCGGCTTTGGCCCGTCGTCCTACCACCTGCGACCACTTTTCTTGCGGCGGTATTTGCCGCGTCGCTGTAGACTTCTCCCTGATCCGCTCCGCCATGGACGGCCGTGGAACGCGGTTAACCGCCGCCATTTCACGGGGCCCAGCCCCCGGTTGTGCGGATGGCGGCGTCTCTCTTTTCTTCGCGGGGGCAGGTTCCTTTCTGCTCCCCTTGGACCGAGCGCGGACCCCGTGGGGCGCGGAGGCCACCGTCTCCGCCCCCGAGGAGGGGACTCCCAGCACCTTTCTGATTTCTTCGGCGACTATCATTCTAATAGTCGCCGCCATGTCATTCTCCATCATAGCGGAGGGCCCGTTTGTCTCCCGCGGACCTGTCATTCTCTGCGGGTCGCCCTTCGCAACCGCCTCGTACCGCGGTTGCGGCTGCGAGGGCCTCGCCCTGGTCCTAGTTCCAACGGTGCGAATGTTGCCCTGCTGGTCGACAACCTTTACCCTCGCGTTGAAGGGGCGGTCCTCCAAAATTAGGGTCTTTCCCTGGAGGGGTGGACGCTTGGGGGACGGCCATTCCTCCCTCGGAGGAAGCGTCACTCTTGACACGTCCCCCTCCGCGGTGTCGACCTCCATAGCCTCCTCCCCCCTCGCTTCGCGGGGGGATTTAGCCGTCATACCCCTGCCTTTCCTGCCGTCCGAGGCGTCCGGTGACCTTGGGTCCTTTGGCCCGCGGCTCATTTTGGCTCTGAGCGCAGCCATCTCGTCCCGGCAGCGCTCAACTTCCTCCGTTTTTTCGGAGACTTTTCGTTTCTCCGCCTCCAGTTCCGTTTCGAACCTCCTACGGAGGTTCGCCAACTCTCTCCACAGATGCCGGATCTCCTCCGCCTGCATGCCCATCTGCTGGGTCTCCGCTCGCTCCTTGAGAACCTCCACTGAGTCGAGCGTTGCTGCCGCCATAAGCTTGAGGGCCTTCTGGTATGTGCCCTTAAGGTTGGAGGATGTTTTCGCGATCCGAATTACCTCCAGCATCTTCTCCGACACATCGGCGGCGATCTCTTCGGTCGGTTTGTCCTCGACCTCCGTTCGGGCTTTTTCTACATCAATCTTGCCCCTTCGGAGCAGTTGTTTACCGTCCATATTACGGACGGCTTGCTCTCTTTCGAGCTGCAATCCTCGCTCCTTTTCATCGTTTAAACGCTTGATGGCGTCGGCCCGTCCAGCGTACAGCCCGGTGGTCTGATACGACCTCCGGGGCCTTCCTTCATCACGAGGGACGAGGCCCTGCGGGTCCCTGCCGCCCCTTTTCTCCGGTGGTTCGTCCGGATCTTTCTCCCTCCTGACACTCGCGGTGTCTTCGTCCGAGGACACGATGCAGGACGCCGAGGGCTTGCTCCTCTTGCTGCCCCTTATCCTTCGGCCGGTCGACGCCGTATCCGCACGGGATGAGATCGACGAGGCATAAGTCTCGTCGGGGTCCCCGACGACGGGCAAGTCCCCCGTCCTTGCCTCCGCTCCGCCCGGAGGGAGGACGCGGATTCTGTCGGCAAGTCCTCCCGATCCTCTGGAGGACACCGAAGCACGCTCGTCGTCCGACTCTGGAGGCTGAGCGATCTGCACCGAGCCGCCCTGTTTGGGCTCTTTCGAAGCGTCTCTCTCCGTTGGGACTAGCCCCGACGGGGGCTTGTTCGTCACCCTCAGTTTG